TTAATGTTTTTTTTATAAAATTCATTAATGTAAGATCTAATTAATGTAATTTCCTTATTAAGTTAAATAAAATGAATTCTTAATATTAGAAAATACATATAATGAAACCTGTTTTTAAGATTGTTGTTAAATATTTTTTGAAATCTATAATACATATCATTGTACTATTGAGATTGAAAATAATAAAAGAATATAATTTTTATATTTCACATTTGTCTACGTTTCATTTCCTTTACGATAGAAACCAAATAACGTATATTAGCCCTAAAACGCTTTCTATGTCGTTCACTACGTAAACGGTTTCTTTTTCTTGTAGGTTTTTCATAAAATCTACCTAGCTTTTCTTCTCGTCGTACATTATTTTGTTTTAAAAGAATATCTAAAGATTTCCATGAAGAAATAACATCTTGATTTCTTACATCTCGAGATGCTGCTCGGCGATAAATATGTAATTTCTGAGATTTGTTTCCCAAAACTTCATTATTTGAAGAACTAGTTGCCTCAAAAGGAAATGATAGATGTTTGATTTTATTTTCTGATGATAAAATAGGACTAACTGTTTTTAGATAAAATTTATCATAAGATGATTCATCTGTTTTTTTCTCTGTAGTAGATATTTTTATACTTTTCAAATCCTTTTTTTCAGATTTAAATGGAATTATACTTAAATGTCTTACTGTTTTATTGATGTATTTTTCTATTAATAACGTTTTTTTTTTTGGTCTCCATAATATAAATTTTTCATGTAAGAAATAGTTTGAAAACTTACAATTGAAAATATTCTTTGATATTTTTTTTATATTAATCATTTTTAATTGTTTCTTTAAAAAAAGAATTTATTTTTTTTTAAAATTATATTTTTATTTTTAGATGAGTTGTTTCGAAATTTGTGATTTAATTAATAAAAATTTTAAGTTATATTTTTGAGCAATAATTAAGGGATCCTTGAGGGATACTTAAGTCTGATACTTGTAAAGTTATGTATCATTCACAACAGTTACCTTATGGTGCAAGTAAGTTTTGTTAAATATGTAAATTATAAATTTTATTATAATTTTTAGATACAGTTTATGGATATCAAGGGTATCAGGCTTATCAACAGAATTTGCAAGCATCATCTGGTTATGTTTCTGGGGTGGCACAGGCTCAGCCTTCAGGATATGGGCTTCATCAGAATATATCAAAAATCGATTTTAATGCACCTATTATTCATTTTGGAACAAATGTCGACCAAGTAAAATCTCAAGCTGCTATTATTACATCTGCCCCTGTGCTTGTATCTAAAGCTACAGTTCCTCGTGATCCACCAAACCTTTTGCAACCACTTACTCTAGAACAACAAATTAGAACATTATTCATTGGTGCTATTCCTGATTATCTGGATGATTTTTGGATTGATAAAATCTTAAAGGTATTTTTTTTATTTTGAAATGTTCATATTTATATGTTTAAGTCTGTTGCAAAGTTAAAAGAGTGGAAAAGAGCTAGTAATGCTACAGGTTCCCTTCGGAATTTTGGATTTGCTGAATATGAAGATTTTGAACACGTACAAAGGGCAATTATAGTCTTAGAGGATTTGGTTGTTCCTTCTTTGAAAAAAGATGAAGAAGCTTCTAAAATAATGGTAAAACTTTTTTTTTATTTTATAGTTAATAATTAGTTAAGGTTGTAGTTGATCAAAAAACTAGAGATTATTTAGATGAATGGAATGAAAAAAGAGAGAATAAGAATCCGGTAAATGTCTTTTTTAATAAGTTATTAATATTTACATATTAAAGCAACGTGAACGGAGTCTTATTATGCAAGCGAAAAGTAATCTTATTAAAGTCCTTGAAGACTTTAAGGATCCTAATAAACGTGATTCGAAGAAAGCATCTCTTGATGATAGGTCTAAAGAGATACAAGTTTTTGAAAACAAGGAAGGGTCTAAAGTATTTACTGTAGCAGTTAATGCTGATGATGAACTGGAAGATATACCTGCAGAACAACGTGAAGCTGTTGCTCGTGAAATTTCTTCTTTTAGAGAAAGATCTGCAAGAAGAGAATATGAGAAATTAAAGAGAGAAGAAGAAGTTGAGAGAAGAAAATTAGAATTTGAAAGAATGGCTAAGTTATCTGTTCCCATAAGACCTGCTTCTCAGATAAAGAATCCTGTTAATCAAAAAACAAAAAGTGAGAATTCTCTGTTCTTTACAGATTCTGTTAACGATCGTCGAGTTGGTCAGATAGCTAAAGATTATCAGAAACCAGTAACATTTGTATTAAAAGAAGTTAATGGTTATAGTCGAAATAATGATGACGAATTGGATGATACAAGATCTTGTGAAGAAATAGAAAGAGAAAGAAAAAACAAAAAGCAAAAAGAACTTGAAATTGCGTTTCATGAAGTAATTTTATTTTACTTTTTATGTTTATTCTTACAATGTTTTAGAGGGAAAAAAGATGGTTAAATAGAGAAAAGTCGCGAACATCTGCGTTGGAGAGAGAAATGAATAGAGATAAAGAAGAAGCATTCCGTGAAGCTAAAGATAGGGAAATTATGTCTCGTCGACTTGCTGAATGGGATGATGATTTAGAGGCCGAAAGAGCTATGGAAGAATATTATAAAGATAGATCATCGTGGTTACGGCATAGAATAGTGTTTCGTAGTAGAGAAATGGAAATGGATGCACGTGATCGTGCCTTAGAAGAGCGTCAGGATTCAGAGAAATCTAAAGTTAATACTAATGCTAATTTTTTCCCTAAAAAGCATCTTATAGAACATACGCTTGTTGAGTCTGGAATCAATAAGGATAGTGGGCCTATTAAGCTTACTTTTAGCTCTGTAAAAAAGCAAATAGATCTTCCTAAAAGAGTTGTTTCTGAAGTAGAAAAACTTTTGGAAGATGACGATGATCTTTATACTAGAAATAAAAAACCAATATTATTGCCTCTTGATTATGATGATGTAGAAACAGTTGAAGATAATGAAACTAGGATTAAAAGAATTAAAGATATTGTTGCATCTGTTCCATCTGAAAAAGAAGGGTTATGGAGTTGGCCAATTAAGTGGAATCTATTAACTAATGTAAGATTTTTTTAATTAAAGCATTTTAACAAAGTATTAGTCTATTATTGAAGATAAAATTCAGCCGTTTATTGCAAAAAAGATTGTTGAATATGTTGGCGTTCAAGAAGATGAATTGATTAAGTTTATTTTAGATCATTTACAGAAAAGAGGTAGTGCTGAAGAACTTGCAAAGGAATTGGAAATGGCTATGGATGAAGAAGCAGAATTGTTTGTTAATAAGATATATAGATATGTCATTGTTATATTAGAGACTATTATATAGTTAAAAAAATAGTTTTTTATTAATATTGTAATTGTGTCAGATAGTTGATAGTTTCAAATTATTTACATTTCTTTTAATTTTAGGATTTTAGGGTGATTTATAATTTATTCTAGCAAGTTTATATTTACTGTATTTAAAGAATCAATTGCCCATTTAGGATAATTTTCTTTTTTTCCTGAATATAAACGATTGAATGATTTTTTGACAAAAGTAGGGAATTGGTCATGAATAATTGCATTTCTCATTTCTCTCATTAAGTTCAATTGATAGTGAATATTGTGGATTGTTAATAAATGTGCAAAAACTTATATTTATTAGAATAAAATGTTAAATATGATATTTTACCTGTTTCTTTGCATACAATATGGTGAATATACGCCCTTGTTACTTCCCATTCTCCGGACTTACAACAAGGACATTTACAATCTTTATCAATAGGATTATAATCGTTTGCGAAACATTTATTACGAAGATTTAAAACACCATGTGGTGTAAGTGCATTACCAAAACGCTAAAAGATTAAAAAGGAAAAAGCATATATTAATACTTACTGCTGTTCGTGTAGGATATACACAATCAAATTGATCAATCCCTAGTGCGACACTAACAATGAGATCTTCCGTATAACCCTAAATAAATTAAGTGATAAATTTTTTTATAGTGTTTTTACAACTCCCATTAGATATCTTGGTTTGTTATAAGGCAATAAATTTGTACAGATTGAAACAATTTTGTATGTCTGAGATTTTTCTTCACCACCGCTTAGTCCACCTATAGCTATTCCGGGAGTTTCTCTTTTTATAATTTCTAAGCAACATGTTGTCCTTAATTCCTCATTAAGTCCTCCTTGAACAATTGCATAAAGACTTTGTCTTTCTGGATGTTTATTTGCTGCAATACAACGATCAAGCCAGCGTATGGTTCTCCACATTGCTTCCTCTACTCTTTCTAAAGAGCTAAGAGAATGAACAACATCGTCCAATTGCATTATAATATCTGAACCAATACTGTTTTGTAAAGAGATAGAATATTCTGGTGTAAGAAGCATAAGAGATCCATCATGAGGGCTGTGGAATTCAACACCTTCTTCTGTAATTCGAGATAGTTTTAAGAGAGAAACCATTTGAAACCTTATATATATTAGTAAGATGTATTTAGGTTTATGTAATAAATAGTACCCTCCGCTATCTGTCAACAGATTATAAGACCATCCTTCAAATAAATGAGCTCCACCTGTTATATCAAGAACTGATTGTCCTGGACGATGACCGAGATGGTATGTATTGTTAAGCATAAGTCGACAACCAAGATGTTCTAGTTGGTGAGGTGTGATACCTTTTAATGTTCCCTGAAAATTTTAATTAAATTTATTGGTATTAGAAAAATTAACTTGTGTGCCTATAAAGTTTTTAAGACTGTTTTTTGAAGAGAATGAAATTTACCAACTGGCATAAATACAGGAGTTTCAACAGTTCCATGTGATAGTGTAAGAAGGCCTGCTCTTGCTTTTGATACTGAGCATTTGCTTATAATATCAAAACTTAGCCCTTTAGAATGCATAGCAATAATTATATTAAAGAATATCTGTTATTTGTAGGAATTTTGTTCATTATATTTGATTTTTGATGTATTTTAATGTATTGTAAAAGAAAAGTTCTAGTTTTGGGTGTCCATTTGGCGCAATGGTAGCGCATTCCTCTCCTATGTACGCCCGAAGGAAAGGTTGCGGGTTCGAGTCCCGTAATGGATGGGTTTTTCTTTATTAAGAGTTAATTTTAGTATCACTTATTAGTATATTTTAAGAGTTGTAAGAGTTAATACAATGGATAATACTAGGGTTTGAGTGTAAGGTTGTCGCAATTACATTATTATTTAATGTGATGACTTAGTGTTATATATTAGTATATATATAATTAAATAATGTCCTTATATTAAGATTTAAGGAGTGCAGTATTTTTAAAATATATCAATATATTATCGATATATGTACTGATTATATTTGTATAACGAGATATATATATTTTAAGAATATTATTACAATTAATAAAGTATCTTTAAAACTAAATGAGTCAAAATAAAGACGAAATTGTACTGATAATAAAAGATATAAATGATTTGAATGTTTTTAAACTGACATTTTCATTTTGATGGATTCATCAGGATGATAGCCTTGAATAATAAAATCATTTATTGTAAAATCTTCAATATGAGTAATTGAACGATTTAAAGAAAGAGTAGGAAAGGGATGTGGTGAACGAGTAAGTTGTTGTTGTAAAGCTTTAATATGGTTCTTGTAGATGTGACAATCACCTAAGAATAGTTAATATTTGTTTATTTTGAATATAATATTTACCCATTACATGAATAAAATCACCTGGATCAATATTACAAACATGGGCAATCATACATGTTAATAACGCGTATGATGCAATATTAAATGGAACACCAAGACCCATATCACAAGAACGCTGATATAACTGACATGATAGTTCACGTCGGCCTCCATCTGGCGGTATATGAACGTAAAATTGACTATGTTTTGTAAGTATTAGGTTATATAAGATTTAAGAAGTATTACCAGAACATGTGACATGGAGGTAATGCCATTTTTTTTAGATCTAAATTGCACTAAGAGCTAATGCTGATCCAGTAAGGAAAAATACCTGCTGGGTTCCATGCCATAAGGATTAGTCGACGATCATATGGTGATGTCTGAATTTTTTGAATAATATTGGCTAGTTGGTCAACACCTTGACCTGTATAATCAGTTTTACAATCAATATATTCTGCGCCGAAGTGTCGCCATTGAAAACCATAAATAGGACCAAGATCTCCTTCTTGGCGTTCCGTTAATCCGATAGAGTCAAGATAGTCTCTCGAACCATTTGCGTCCCATATATGGACTTTTTTTTCTTTAAGTTCTAAAGAATTTGTTCTCCCACGAATAAACCCTGTACTATATATAAGGATAGATTTAATTGATTTTGAATGTTGTTTACAAAGTAATTCCTCAATTACTCCACGTAGAAAAATTCTCTTAGTTGTTAAAAGTGGTAATCTTTTATTTCGAAGAGAAAACCTTAAAGGTGGTGGTGCAAAAATAGACAATGTCCCTGTTCCTGTTCTATCAGAACGATCTTCTCCATGGTCAATAATATATTGTATCAAGTTGAGATATTGTTGTTCTTCCGCATTTTCCATTTTTAATATGATGCAATAAATAGTATTTTTCGAATCTTCTAAATCAATTTTAAAGTTTTTGAGATAAAAGAATATTTTTTTATATATAGTTTTATTAAAAAATTGTATATTTTTTTAATGTTTTTAAGATTTTATCGATTAATCAAATAGGTTTCTAGTGAAAAATAAAGGTAAATATTGTTCATAAGGATGTTGTTTTTATTTAGTTGGATTAGTTTTTTGTATTACGGACGTGTAATTAACTATTTTGTTTTTTTTAATAATTGTAAATACTGATTTTTCATATGGGTAGAAAACAAGTGGTTACATCTAGAAAAGAAAAATCTTCAGATACTAACTATGATTCTGTTATTCATGAACGAAAAGATAGTATGGATGAGTTAACATTATCTGTAAAATCAAAAAAAAATATTAAAGAAATGCCTTTATCAAAAACATTAAGTATAAAAAAATTACATTCATTTGAAAAGGAGAATCTGCCTTTAGGAAGTTCTAGAATGATGGAAAGTGTTAGTTTGAAAAAGTGTTCTCAGAAAAAGATTTTTATGGAAAAAGATTCCAAAGATTGTCAAAAGGAAAATGTTTTGCAAGTATTACAAATTCAATTAAATGACCCAAAACGTAAATTCATAGACGTATACGATGATAGTATTGCTATGGATAAAAGGCTAGAGGAGGTAAAGGGTTTTCTATAGTTCTGAAGTAAATTGAAATTTTCAGGCAATTCGAAAGATGGAGGAATTTGAGAAAAAATATATATCTCTTAAAGATCTTCGTCAAACAGAAGTTGAATCTAATTTTTGTACTTATCGTGAGGCAGCTGAATCTCAATTTAAGGGTAAATTGTTTTATAGAATTTTTCTTGTGCCTGATATAATTAGCTTCTGAAGTACTTATTGATAGTCTTACAAAAAATATAGATGCTAAAGAAAAGAAGTTGAATGATTTGTTATCTCATATTGATAGTTTGGAAGCAGAAAAGCGAGAATTTGAAAAGCTATCTGAAAAATGTATGTTGTTTTTAATATGGCTATTTATATTGATTTTTTAGTGAAATTTGCTGAACAGGCTCTTGTTCGTGCGAATTCTCAGATTTCATATTTAAATGCTAAGCTTTCTTCTCATTCTAGTGCATCTATTGTTCAATTAAAAGAAGATCTTTATAGTGATTTAACAGGACTCCTTATTCGTGATGTTAAATCAGATTCTAAGAAAACTGTTTTTGATTGTTTACAAACAGGTCGTAATGGGAGTCAGTTTCGTTTTTATTTTTATTGTTATACTTATATATATATATAGCTCTTCATTTCAAGCTTTCGCTTTTTATTGATCCTTCTTGTCAATCACAAGAGCGATTTTCATATACTCCTCTTTTCGATGAAGAACGAGATGCACCACTTTTAAATTATTTACCTGATTATCTTACAGGTGAAATAATATTTGAAAAAGATCAGGCAGCTATGTTTAATTGGAGATTATCAAGTGCTTTACAAAAGAAAGATTAGTTTTTAAATTTGTAATCATTTAGTTTTTAATAATTTCTTCTACATGTATATAAATAATGGATTTATATCGAATTAACGTTTGTTTTGATTTTTATAATAAATAATATTAAAACGAATCGTGTAAATAATGAAAATTTGCAAAAAGATTTTTCAAATTTTCAATAGTTCGAAACTTGTTTCATATGTTAGCAACGTTCATCCAGTATCTAATCTTAGATATATAGAATATCCTTATGATGTAACATCACCATTGTCTGTCAAATTACATGTATTTAATATATTTTGTTAAGAGCTTTTATGATTTCTATTAGAAAAGAAGAAAAGATATTTTAAAAAAAGGCCAAATTTTTTGGGAAAATAATAATACTTTTTACTTTAAAAAATTAGAAGTATTTTGTAATGATGTTATTAAAAAAAAGGGTTTGGTTACTGATGAAGATATGTTTGTGTTTTATAGAGAGTATTTACAAAGTTCCAAATTTAAAATGAGAAAATATCAATGGTGTTGGTATCGACAAATTTTTGATATTCTTGTGGATAGTTTTAAAGTTTGGATAAATAATACAGCAGATCATTCGTCTTTTTTTTCTCATATAGATAGAAAGAGACGATAAATATGTTTAAAATATAACTTAGATGTTATTTTTGTTTTTTAAAAAGATAGATTAGTTTTTAGGATTTTAGTAACGTAAAAATATTTTTGGTATTTAAGTAAATGTATATTTAAGATTATATAGTATTTTATATATTATAGATATAAAAGGTTTTGTAATTTTTTTAGGGAATTTTGCTAGTTAATATATTTTTAATGTTTCTTAAAAAGAGTTTACATTTTTAAATTATATAATATTTTCATTTAAATTTAGATTCTGAATTTATATTATTATTTATTATATTAAATGTTGAAATTTTATGGAGTTATATATTTTAAAAAAACTATGAATAATGATTTATAGATATGATTTATTGAAATATATAGCAGAATTTTTGTTTTATACATATGAATGTTTTGAATTTTATGAAAAAAAACTTATATGTAAATTATGATTAAAAATCAAATTTATATAATATTATTTTTGTATATTTTCAATAATTTTGTCTATGTAGTTGTATGTTTATGAAAAATAAAATATTGGTTGAGTTTAAAAAAATTAGATATAGTAAAAATTTTTTCATAATAATTCTTTTAAGAATTCATTTTATTATTAGGTATAATTCCCTTATTTGTTATATTTTAATTTAAATTATAATTATAAAATGAAAAATTTATGAACAATAGCTTATATTGAAATATCTTATTACTAATTTCATAGGAATTTCAGTACATATAAAGAATACTATATATATTAATTACTATAATAATCGAAATTTAAAAAGACTCATGTATTATATTAAAAATTGAATCCTATAGACTTTAGAAGTATATTTTTGAGTATTAAATTATAAAATGGTGTATAATGAATCTTATGAAAGTAATTTCCAACTATGCAAAAAGATTGAACTTTGTTATATAAAAAGAACGTCGAATTTTTTCAAATTGAGAATTTTATAATCAATTAATTTTTTATGTAAATTAATGATAGTAATCGATTTTATATGTTTAGAAATGGTATTTTGAACCAAATTCGTATAATATATTGGATAGCTTTTGTGCACCATGACTTAATATTTCTCTTAAAAAAATATTAGTTTTATTTAAATATGATTTTGATAATAACTTGATATTTTCAATATCATTATTTGTTCCAGTAAATTTTTGAATAAACTCTTTAGCTGATTCTTCAAAATTCCTATAATCCCGTGTATTTATATCATCTTCAGTTTCTCGTCCAAAATACTGAGTTGATGAAATAGATTGAGCACCACTAAATTCCTGTAAACGTGATTTAGCTTCTTCTTGAAGAAAAGAATCATATGAATTTCTTTCAAAATATCTATTTTTATTAATCAGTCTGTTTAATACAGAAATTATATAATTAACTGATCAGAAGAAATAGATTTTTGTCCAAAAAATTTATCACGAGCATAAGTGATGTTATCTGAA